TGGGACTCTCGAGGGCCATCTTGGGGCCATCCTGAAGCGCAAGAAACCCATCTGCAGCGAAAAGGCGAGGAGCCCACAAATATTCATTTGCCTTAGGTTTTCGAAGGATTTTGGCCTCTTGGGAGGTGCCTTTGGAGGGGGGACTGGCAGTTGGAACCTACTTGGGCTGTCTTGGGGCGTCGTGAAGGCTTGTCGGGGGCTATTTTGAGCCATGTTGAGGTATCTTGAGCCATCTTGGAGGCTCTCTTGGGCTGTCTTGGGCCTTGTTGGAGCCATCTGGGACCATCTTTGGCGCTCTGACGGCTCCGCCACCCCCTCCCAGGCCCAGGGGAAGGGGTAGGGGGAGGGATCAAGTCACCCCCTCCCCGCCCGCAAGCCGTCTCGCTCACTCCCACCCGCCCTCCCAACACATACGTAGCACCCGAGTCCGGCCCGAGGCTCAGCATATTCAGCAGTCGTCTTTGGATGGGCAGCTACTGGGGGCCAATCCGCCGCCGCCACCGCCGCCGCCGCCGCCGCCGCCGCCACCGCCGCCCCCGCCGCTGCCGCCGCCGCCACCCGCTGCCAAACCGCCGCCGCCGCCGCAGCCGCTGCCGCCACCGCTACCGCCCCGCCGCCGCCGCCGCCGCCCGCCGCCGCCGCCGCCGCCGCGCCGCGCCGCAGCCGCCGCCTCCGCCGTCGCCGCCGTCGCCGCCCGCGCCCCCGCTGCCAAACCGCCGCCGCCGCCGCCGCGCTGCCGCTGCCGCCACCGCCGCCGCCGCCGCCGCGCCGCCGCCGCCGCCGCCCCCGCCCGCCCACGCCCCCGCCGCCGCCGCCGCCGCAGCCGCCGCAACCGCCGCCACCGCCGCCGCAGCCGCCTTAGCCGCCGCCGCCGCCGCCAAGTGTACTCTGTATTGATTTTTGACAGGGATGGTGGGGGGGGGGCCACATCGGGTTGGCTGCGCATGTTCCGAATTTGGAGGCAGAGTGTGTTTTGTATTCTTTTTTGCAAGGGATGGTGGGGGGGTGTCGGCATGGACCCTGGTTGGCCCCCAGTCGCCTGGGGGAGGGGGTGTTTATGCACAGGGAAGAATGATCAAGCTGCCCGCCCGCCCGCAAACCGTTTTGCACACTCCCGCCCGCCCTCCCAACACATAGGTAAGACCTGGCTGTCAGCATATCGCGTAAAAGCGCCGCAGACGCCACGGGGCCCAGATGCACCAGAGACCTTGGAGGCCCAAGCGTGCCAGGTGCGCCAGGTGCGGCACGTGCTCTACGTGCATCCAGGGTCCACGTGCTCCAGCAGCGCCAGGTGCGCCAGCCACTGTGAACCAATAGGGGCTCCACCTGTGTGCGCCACAACTGTTGCTACGCCAGCAATTGCGCACGCCCCAGCGCATGCTTGTGGCTGCTGGCCAGCGCGCGCGGCCCCCACCCATCCACGCATGAGAAACAAACGTGCGAGAACGCGCGTGGCCTGACACGCCAACCAATCGAAGTGCACCGAACAACCCTCAAACGCAATGCAAAGTACACGCCAGGGCATTCACACTCTCGCCGTGCCAGTTGCAGGTTCAACTGTGGCAGGGAAACTCCGCGGCTCCGCGCGTCGCGCGCGGCAAGGCCCAGAAGGGGGGGCTGACGTTCAGGCCCCCCTCTGCCTGGAGCTAGGCCCCCCCTTCAAGAGCCCCCAGAACCGCCTTTTGAGGCCCTCTTTGGGCCACCTTGTGGCGCTCTGATTCTTGGGGCCGTCTTGGAGGCCGCGTGGGCCTGGCTTGGAGCTCTCTCGGGCCACTTTGGGGCCACCTGCGGGCCTCCCCTGCGGGGCCCTCAGAGCCGCTCTTGGGGCCCTCTTGGCGCCAACTTGGGGCGTGGTCGGGGCCAGTTTGGAAGCGTCTTGGGCCAGCTTGGAGCTTTCTCGGCCAATTTTGGGGCCATTTGCAGGCTCCGAGAGCCCGTCGGAAGGGAAACGTCGACAATGCGGCAGTCATGGATTTGTCAAAGCAGTCGGTCGACCGCCTCTGCGCCCAGAAGGCAGGCGGGATCTGCTGGCACCCTGGCCGTCCCTGTAAAATACCTATGCGAATTGGTCGTGCGGCGGCCGCGCATGCTCCAAATGTGGAGCCAGGGTGTGTGTCTGTATTGTTTGTGGCAGGGATGACGGGTGTGTGTGAGCACGGGGTCGGCATTGTTCCCGGTTGGCTGCCGGCTGGGTGAGGGAGGGGGTGTATATCAATAGGGAACAGTGATAAACCCCTCCCCCGAGCAGGGGAAGGAGGGGTTCCATCAAACCACCCGAACCCAACCCGAAGGCCCAAGAGTGCAGCGCTGGTGCCGTGTCCCGTGTCGTGCCGTGCGCGCTGGCTGGCGCTAGGTGCAGAGATCGAGTCATGGATAGCTCAGGGGCAACGTTAGGGGTGAAGAGCTTGGGGCGGACGACAGGGGAGGATATAGTCGGACCGAGGTATAGGATCGAGGTCGGTTCGGGGAGGGTACCCTAGTATTGCGAAGGCCTTATGGCCAGTGCGCCGACCCTGAATGGCGACGACGACGACGACGACGACGACGACGACGACGACGACGACGACGACGACGACGACGACGACGACGACGACGACGACGACGACGAGGAGCGCTCTCGGGTGCCTCTGGGGGGTAGTTTTGGGGCCGCTTGGGAGGCTCTTGGGGGCCGCTTGGGAGCCTCGTGGGGGCCTCTTCTCTTGGGGCTTCTCGGGGGTCTCTTAGGGGCCTCTTGCGGCGTCTTCGGAGGCTTCTTAAGGGGTCTCTGGGGGCCTCCTGGGAGCTTCTCGGGCCGAGGGCTCGAAATGACCGTTCGGGTCCCTCGTCTGGGCTCCCTCTTGGAGCCGTCTTGGGGGCCTCGTCGGCTGTCTAGGAGGCCTCTTGGAGGCCTCTTGGGCCATCCTGGGGCGGTCTTGGGGGCCCCTTTGCCTGTCTTGGAGCGTCGGGAAGTTGACAAGGCGAGAATGCCGAAATCTTTTGAACACCTAAGGGAACTCGATGATGCCCTCTTGGAAGTCCTCTTGGAGGCCTATTGGGGCGTTTTGGAAACCTTTGGAGCCGTCTGGAGGCTACTTTGGCGACTTGGACGGTTACTTCGACGATCCGGGCCCTCTAGCACCGTCTTGGGGGCATCTAGGGCACCTTTGCGTTCTTGAGGGTATCCTCGTATTCTTCGTGTTTGTTGGATGTTCTTGTGCATCCTGGGGAGGGTACCCTTGGATGTTCTGTTTGTTTTGGCCGACGGAGGGTCTCATGTTCTTGAGGGATGTTCTTCTGGCCTAGGTCCGACTGTAGGGAAAATCAGGGGGGGGAGAATTTAGGGTTCGAAGTTCGGGAGTTTCGGTAGTTTTCGTCGGTTCTCGGCGGTTTCCCAGCCTCAGGTTGCGTTCCAGCACTTGCGCCTCGTCGAGCACGTTTCAGGGGTTCCCGGATCGTCCCGACCGGCCGCCAGAGACTCAAGTTATGACCCGAAAACCTCAGGGGCAATGCCAGGGGCGAACAGGCGCAGAGGGGGATGCATCGAGAGGCTGCACTTGTCGGCGGCGAGCGATGGGTGGAAGTGAGAAGGAGGAGGCGTTCTCAGAAGGCGGCGGGGCTTCTCAGAAGCCCCCTGGTCTTCTGAGAACTGTTCTATGTCTTCGGGTGAGGTTCAACAAACTTCTCAGACGACCGGGGGACTTTCGAGCCTTCGAGAAAGCCCGCCCCCTCTCGCTTCCCCCCCCGGCTCGCCGCCGAGTGAGAGGATGCACTCGCCCAGCCCACGGAAGTCCACCAGCGCGCCCTGAGACGAATCCATCCCTGGGCGACGGGCTGCTCTGCCGCCTCCTTCCCTGCGGCTCCTTCGCTCGCCTCTCGTCTCGGTGCCATCTCTCGTGCCGCGAGGGCACGAGAGAGCACACCACGGCCGGGGGGGACGGAGGCCACAGTCAGGAAAGGCAGAAGCGTAGATGTTCGGACAGACCCGCGCGGTTTCCTTGGAGCTGCGTTGGGCCCAAGAACTCCTCGCGGAGCTCCGACGGGTGATGTTCATACTGGTTTTTGCTCCTCTACGCACATGCACCATGCGATGGACAGAATACAGGCAAGCATGTGGTAGTGCACGTGGCGACATGGCGTGAAATTGAGCGAGTGCTGGTTGGACTGGTGGTTCCGGGGCTGAGGCGCGACCCGGACAAGAACATTACCTCTCACTTGCAAGATACCGATCATGTTCGAGTACGAGTTCACTCTCATTGAGGACGGACGGCACCAGATGGCAGACGAGTTTTAGTGGTGACAGGGTGGGTGGGGAGTAGGGCATGGGGATGGGGTAGGTGCGTTCTTCAGGGAAGGGCAGTGGGCACGAACAAGGGGGTGTCAGGAGAGTTGGAGGAGTGGGCATCAGGCAACTGTTTCTTGGAACGCCCATCTGTCAGCTCGGAGACCCGCTACCCCCAGCTGCGTTCCGACTGCGCCATGGCGCTGCTGCTCTGGATTGCCCGACGGCCTCGCTGGGATCAGCGCTACTGTAGGTTCGCATCGTGTCGACCGGCGGCGACCCCGCTGGCGGCGTTCAACTTTGAACGCCGCGGGCGACCCAGAATCGTTCGATGTGGAACGTTTTTGACGCTTCGGAAACGGCCGATCGTTCAAGGTTGAACGATCCCCGCGGTGTCAGGAACAAGCGCCGAAGTCGGCACGACACGAGCTTGACCTATGCTCTTCTTCTGTATCACCCCTCTGCCGCGAACAATCCCGAGCAGGAGGAGCGGACGTGGACGAGCCGGCGGCGCGACGGACACGTCGCTGACGCCTGCTGGGCTATCGCCCGCGGACCCTCGGCCCCTCCACTCTGCCCCAGCCTGCCCTCGAGGTCCGACCCTCGCCCTATGATGTTCTAACCTACCGTGGCCTTGATCACCACCAGAGAGAGTTTCGAGCAGCATGGAAGTACCGATTCCCGAAGGTTTTCACGTGTCGGGCCCTGGGAGGCGATACTCTCTCGACACCGTTTCGATACTCCTCCTGGGTGCTCGAAATTCTTATTCCTGGGATGTGGTCCTCAAGTCTGATGGGAGCAACATAACCCTCGCCCTCTGCTCCCGACACCGCCGCCCAGGAGCACCCCGACATCCAGGTGACGCCGCTGTCGGGGACCATCCCGGCGGACGGCACCGTGAACGTCGTGGTGACGTTCGCGCCGACGAGGCACAGGACCTGCCAGGGACTGTCGCACGACCACTGCACTGGGAAGGAGGCCCTCGTTCGGGGACCCAGCGGCCATCGTTCGGCTCGGCTCGGGCGGCACCGCCTGCATGGTCTACAGCAGAAGCGCCGAACTACGCGCCACTCTGGGCGCACGATCAAGGGAGGAATCACCACCCGGACCCCGATAACTGGCGTTCACTGAAGGCCCTGGGCGTTTACTAAACAGCCATGCCCTGGATTCCTTCTTAGGGTGCGTTTACGAAACGGCTTCGCGTGTCGGGGTGATTCTTTGTGAGCGTGGAATCTTCGCTCTCTGCAGGAGAGGATCTGGTGTTCGGGCCGTTCCTTAGATCTACGTCGGGGGACCTGTCCCGTAGCCAGAAAAGCCCCTTCGTTTCAGATTCGGCGCTCCTTGGCAGACCCCCTCCTCCTGTCCCTCCTCCTCCGTCTCCTCCTCCGCCACCTCCTCCTCCTCCGCCTCCTCCTCCGCCTCCGCCAACGTGGACCCCCAGAGTCTCGACCCGTTCCCAGGACTGGCTTTTCATCCTGGGCAGGTTCTTGGACGGCCTGGAGGCCCGGTGAGGGCACCCAGGGGCCGCAAAGCAGCAAAGACCTTTCCGCCGGGTTTTCTTTTCGCGACCCGGGGGGATCGTGAGGTGTGGTGCCACGATGATTTCGGCAGCAAATCATGGGAGCCTTGCGTACCCTTCTCATTCCGTCTCTAGCCTCGGTTAGCGTCTGCGAGTCGATGGGATAGCGCCGATCTGGCGTCGGTTCGCGTCGATCAGTCAGCGTCGATTCGCGCCGACCAGCGTCGATTTAGCGTCGACTCGCAGGAGCCGACAAGATGGTCTGGGAGGCCGCCGTGAGATGCCACCGAAGATCACTGTATCGGCCGCCCGATGCGGGCTGCGTGCGCGATGCCGTCGGCGACGGCGCCGCGCTGCTCCAGCAGCGGTGGCACTGCCCCGCGCCCGCGAGCCTGCCCGCGCCGCCCCTGCTCGCGGCGGGGTGCCCCCGCCGCGCGGTCGTGTGCTCGCACGGCGGCTCCCGTCGGCGGCGAAATTCGAACCTTGCCCTCGCCGATCAACGATTCAGGAAACTCGATGGGCGCCTCCTCCTCCTCCTCCTCCTCCTCCTCCTCTGCCTCCTCCTCCTCCTCCGCCTCCCCCCCCCTGCCTCCCCCTGCCTCCTCCTCCTCCGCCTCCTCCCCCTGCCTCCCCCTGCCTCCTTCTCTTCCTCCTCCTCCTCCTTGTTGGTGGGGGCCTCATCCGGCTTCCGACTCCACTTGCACCTGCACCTATCGACCTCCAGCGTCCACCAGCTCAGAACTCAGCACCCCGATCTCGGCAATCGAGGACAACATGAATAGAGGGCCCGGGCCCCCCCGCGCAGGCCCTAAAGGGCCCCGCACCCGGCGGAACCGCGCGCTCGCCTCGCCTCGCCTCGCCTCGCCTGGCGGATCAACGATTCAGGAAACTCGATGGGCGGCGGGGGTATAGGCAGGGCTCGATGGGATTCCTCCGATCCGAGGCGATGCGATTCGACTTATTGTGGCTTCCGCTTCGTATTCGATTCGACTTCGGAGTCCGAGGCCTTCTGGCCAGCCGATTTCCACCGATTCGACTTCTCCCGACTCGGCGGCCGATTTCCGCCGATCCGATCCGTGTCGCCGATGCGACTCGTCAATTCGATTCTGGGCTCTCCTGGTGGGGTTCGGACCGTGTCGAATAGTTGGCGAAATCCGAACCCTGCCTCCACCTCCCATCGACTCAGGAGAATCGTTCGTTGGTGGGGGCAGGGTTCGGCGGAGGCCGCCACCCATCGAGGAGGAGGAGGAGGAGGAGGAGGAGGAGGAGGAGGAGGAGGAGGAGGAGGAGGAGGAGGAGGAGGAGGGAGGAAGAGGAGGAGGCGGAGGAGGAGGAGGTGGAGGAGGCGGAGGAGGCGGCGGAGGAGGAGGAGGAGGAGGAGGAAGAGAAGGAGGAGGAATAGGAGGAGGAGGAGGAGGAGGAGGAGGTAGGGGACGGGGCAGCGCCCGAGGACCGCGCGCGCGGAGCTCCAGTTCGTGGTCTCGCAGTTCGACTTCGAGCCGGTGCCTCTCACGGTCCCCGGCGCCGCGGGTTCTCTGACTTCTAGTTTTGCAGCGGCCTCTGCCCTGTACAGGAGGAATATTCAAGAATAGTACAAAGTTAGTCTTGGGACGATTTTTCATGCTCTTTTGACAATATTTGAACATTGTTTGACTATTTTTTGGGTTGTTTCTGCCGAAATCCACTTGTAGGAGGACACGCCCGACCCAAGGCCAGTCCCGCGGATCCGGGGCGCTCCCGATGGTGCTCGGGTTCGGATTCGCTTGGAGACCCAGGGGCAGTCTTGGGGCCGTCATAGGAGGAGGCCTCTTGAGTGGACCTTTGAGCCTCCTGTGGGCTTCTCAGATCTCTTTGGCTGTCTCAGGGCGTTCCTGGCCCGTCGGACGCCGTCAGTGCCTCTCACTGTTCCCGCCGTCGCCGCCAGCGCAGATTCAAGAAAGCTACGAGGACCTCCAAGAGTTTATGTTTAAGTCGTTCTGTGTTCGTCGTCTTTGGCGGCTCTACAAGCCGCCCCACACCTCAATGAGTGCACCTACGTACACCGATCAGCTGTATGCTTTCCAGTTGTACGAAGGATTTGGAAGAGGCTTGAACATGACACGCGATCATAATCCACCCACAGCGGATGCGAGCTCGGAGATGATGCCCTCCCGCGTGGTGGCGTGCATGCGCAGTCTTGCAATATCTTTGCAAGTGCATGCGCAGTTTCAGGTAGGGCAGCAGACAGATGCTCTGCCGAGCGGATAATGCCTTCACTCCTCTTCCTTGTTCTCCGCGCCGTTCTCCCCTCCATGGTCCCAATGGGGAGCCTGAGTGAACCAGAGGCCTCTTGGGTGCCTCTCGGAGTCGCTTGAGATGTCTCCTGGGGGCTTGTGGTGGCCTTTTGGAGCATCTTGGCGGCCTCTTGGGGGCTGTTGTGGGCGTGTTTGGGCGTCTTGAGGGCGTTTTGGGGGCTTCTCAGGGGTCTCTTAGGAGCCTCTTGGAGGCTTTCTAGGGTCCTCTCGGGAGCCTTGTAGGTCTTGGGGGCATTTTGGAGGACATCAACCAAAGAAAGGTGGGTCCTTAATTATCGTCCTTCCTCTAGAGTCCCTAACATCGCCTCTTGGGGCCCTCTCGGATCTCTCTCGGGGCGCTCTTTGGGCGCTCTTGGACATTTTCGGGTCGTCTTGGGCCCTTCTTGGGTCTCTTGGGTCTCTCTTGGGCCCTCTTGGTTCCATCCTGGGGCCTCGGAAGACCATCGGAAGCGAGAGGGCGAGAAGGCCAAAGTCATGGTTTGCCTAAGATGTCGTAAGGATTTCGGCCTCTCGGAGGCGACTTGGGGAACCCCCATGGCCACTCGGATCCGTCTTGGAGCGGTCGTGGGACCTCCTGGAGTGTGCAGGAAGCGATCTTGACCGATCTTGCGCTATCTTGAGCCATCTCGTGGAGGCCATCCACGCCCCGCGGCCGCGCTCGTCCCGACCTGGGGGGAGGAGGTATGGGGAGGGGTGAAGACACCTCTCCCAGAAGCAAACGGTTTGGCTCACTCCCACCCGCCCTCCCAACACGTACGTAGTGCCCGAGACATTCAGCGGTTGTCTCCAGATGGACAGCCACGGGGAACCAGCACAGACCCCGGGCGCACGACGCCGGGGCGAGGTGCGCCATGTCGGTCCTCACCATCCTTGTCCAACAAGACCACTGCGCAATCGCGGCTCAGGGGCCATCTTGTCTGGTGGGCCTGCGCACAGCAGGCAATGTGCCAGCACCCTCTCCGTCCCTGCCAAACACCAGTGCAATGTGATCGGGGGGTGCCCGCGCAGGATGTGCAGTCTGTATTGTTTTCCGATGCGGGCAGTGGCCCTGCGCGCAGCAGGCCATACGCTGGCCCCCCCGCCTTCCCTTTGAACAAGCAATGCGAAACGCTTTCTGGACCTCGAACACGACCCGAGATACTGTCGCAACGTGCCCCTTGCATGGCTCTTGGACAGGGATGGCGGTGTGTGTGTGTGTGTGTGTCCTCCCGCCTCGGGGCCACCGGTCCTCCGGTGCCCACGGGCGCGGCGCGCTGCGCTGCTCGCGCCTGTCCTTTCCGGCGGTGGCTGCTGCGTTTGCCCTCTGGCGTCTTGCTCTTGCCGCTCGCCGTGGGCTCCCGCGCGCCGCCTCCCCGCCTGTCCTCGGGACTGCCGCCCCAGCCTCCGTCCGGGCGGAGGCCCCTGCCCCGCCGTTGCATCCCCTGCCCCGGCCGGACGGATCGCCGGCCTTCTGCGGGGTCCAGGGGCGGCCGCGCGAGGCGGGGGGGAACGGGCCCAGACAGTGCTGGCGTTGGGCAGCACAGTAATTCGGATGCAACTCCTGGGAGGTCAAATTCTGATTTTGCCTTGGTCCGAAATCTGGCTTAATCCTGCTTAGTACTGCTTAATCCGGCTTAATTCCGCTAAATCCAGTTTAATTTGGCTTAATCCGAGGCCCACTCCGGCATAATAGCCCCCCAATGGGGCTTAATCCTCCTTAACCTTTCCGACGAAAACCTCCCAGTAGTTGCCTCCTAACAGTAAGGCGGCCGTGCGCCGAGATCGAGCCGACCTTGTAGGCGACAGAGCAGCCAGAGAAGACCACCTCAGGGGAGGGACCGGGGGGTAGCTGGGAATGGCCCAGCAGGTGAGGCGAGAAGAAGCGCCGAGATCCATGGACTTGCGAAGCGCCAGATGGCGGGCGGGGCCCAGGCACCCTGTGGTCAGGGGCCGCAGGGGGGCGGAGCCGCGGGCGAGCAGGCCCACTGGCGAAGCCGGCTCGAGGGTCGCAGCCTGAAAACCAAGCAAAAACGGGGGGCCGGCCTGGCCCCGGCGCCGCCCCCGCTGCGGCCTGGCCCCGCTCTGAGCGGGCCAGGCTTCCGTTTCCCTCCCGCCCGCGCCGGGCCTTCCTCCTTCTCACGTGCATCGCGGCTTAATTGGCAGTTTTATGCCCTATTCGCCAGCGCAGTCACTCGGCCTAGCCGCCGACGCAAAGTGTGTGTGTGTGTGTGTGTGTGTGTGTGTCTGTGCGTGTGTGTGCGTGTGTGTGTGTGTGTGTGTGTGTGTGTGTGTGTGTGTGTGTGTGTATGTGCGTGTGTGTGTGTGTGTGTGTGTGTGTGTGTGTGTGTGTATGTCCGCGTCGGCCCTGGTTTGACGCTGGTCGGGTGGGGGAGGGTGTGTTTATCAATAAGGAGCAAGCCTCTCCCCGACGGGAAGTTAGGAGAGGAAATGCCCCAAACCATTCATCGAGGGAAAACGGGGACCATGACCAGTATTTTGCGGGATCTTACCGATGCCATCCTAGTCATGGCGTGTCGACCGTCGCCAACCCGCAAGGATGATCCACGAATTGGCACTGTCCAGAATCGACGGTGACCAAGATCGACACGACATTTCCGCTTTCAGTTTTGTGGTCATGGTTCCTGTCTTCTTCCCGTCCAACTCTCGCCCTGAAGGGCTGGTGAGACTCCGCACCCTCGGGGGTGGCCAGAACGGATGCGATGACTGTGTGTGTGTGTGTGTGTGTGTGTGTGTGTGTGGATATCCTGGCGGGGGCCGTGAGATCTCCCCAGACCTCCTGGCGCCTCTTCCTACCCCGATGCGTCCCCAGCCCTCCTCCGCTGGGCCGCGCGCGCGCCGGCCGTGATTTGCGCCCCCCACTCTTGGACGCTTCCTTCTTGGACGCCCCCGATCCCCTCGCACGGTTACCTTCCTTCTGAGCCTGGCGCTCCCCTTGAGTTCGCCTCCTCCCGCAGATCCTCCTCCCACCCCTATGCGCACTCGCCACCCCGCGTGCCTCGTGCCCATTGCCGCACGTGAGCCCAAGCCTGAGCCCGAACCCGAGCCCGAGCTCGAGCCCGAGCCCGAGCCCGAGCCCCTTGTATCCGACGCTGCGCAAGAGTTGGCGCATCGCGAAACACCACGGTTGGAGCCTCAGACCCCATCTTTCCGCCGCAGTTTCCGAGCCGCGTCGACCCGTGCGGGTCCCAGGGCCCGACACTGGGCGGAACCGCCCAGCAGGCAAAAATGGCGACGCGCCATTTGGGGGGCGCGTAATGTGGGGGCGATACGGGGGGGGGGGGGGGGGGCAGCGATGGCTGCAGAACAGGGGCCCTTGAGTGCCCCTAGCGAGGGCCCGAACATGGCACCTCTCCCCCTCCCCGCTTATCGCCCCTCCAAGTGTTCGCGCCCGAGCCAGGGTCTCAGGGAATGGCGCGCCGCAGGTCTGCGGCTCCTGCCCCCCCGACCTCTCGCGCGACGCCGTGATCACGGCAGCCCGGCCAGCGATCGAGGCGCCCCGCTTGCCCCCTGCCTGCCGCGAGCGGCCGCGTCGCGCGGCCGGCCCCCTCCCCCCCCCCCCCTTTAGCTGCGCCCGCTCGAGAGGCCCTCGCTCGGCACGATCGAGATGGGCACGGCAAGAGTGGGGACGCCTGGACAGGGCTGACAGGATTGTCCTGGGGACAGGACGGAGATCGAGGCCGACAGGACTGATAGGACCGACAGGGCGGAGATCGAGACGTGCCGACGGCTGGGTCCGCGTGGAGATTCTGGTCAGAAGCCACCCCAGGAGAGGTCCAGGCGTCGGTTTTGGACCCCGATCGGGGGGGCTAGACGGAGATGCGGAGAGAATGGGGACGAAGACTGGTCGTAGTTCTTGCCCACTCTGCACAGCACGCCCTGTCGACCTCGTCGCGGAGGTGGACCATTGAGACAGACGGTCGCCCGCCCAACAGCGGCCGCTGTCGGGTTCGGACAACATGTGCTGCTGGGCATCGTGCCCACTTTTTCCGTACTCCCTGGCATCGCTCGGACGTGTGCGTTTTTCTCGGCGAGGATCATCGAGGAGCATCCTGGATCATCTGGCAACAAGCGCGCGTGACATCGAAAAATGCACGGGGAATGGACGGCCGAGCGATGGCGAGACCCATTGCGGGCGTGTCAGCTCGCGACGTGGCGCCGCTCCGCGGGCGGGGAGACCCCGCGGGAGCGGCCCCCCGGAGGCGCCCCTCGGTGGCCTCGAGCGGGGCCCGCGCCGCGGGGGTCAGCGCTGGCGGGGGTCAGCCGCCCCGCTCTGGTGGAGCCGGGGTCCGGGTTCTGGTGGCAAGCCATGGTAGCCTCATGTGCACTTGCAAGTGGGGAGGCCTTACGGCCTGTGCCGCCGACCCTGAACGACGACGACGATGCTGGCGTGGGTCAGAGTCCTCAGGGATGCTTCTTGGGGTCTCTTCGGAGCGCTCTGGCAAGTCATAGGAGCCTTGTGTGCACTTGTAGTTCCGTTTTTAGAGTGCGTTAGCGTCGATCGGCGCTTAGCAATCGATGATCTAGCGCCGATTTCGCGTCGATCAGCGTCGATTTAGTGTCGATCAGCGTCGATTCGCAAGAGCCAACAAGATGGTATGGGAGGCTCCAAGGAGTTGCCGCAGAAGGAGCCGTCCATCCCTGCCTCCGCCCTCCGCGTGTCAACCATTACGGCACACCCCTCGCACGGTTCGCGGCCCAAAGGAGAGTGTTACCTAAGGCCCCTGTCGCAGGGTCCACATGCGGCTCCTCGCCCAACGGCACATCCCTCACTCGTTTCGTGGCCTCATAGGGAGCTCCACCGAAAGGCCTTAGTGGCAGGGTCCACATTCGGCACCCCGCCCACTTTCAGTCAGTTTCGGCACCCCCCTGACACGTTTCGTGGCCCCGTAAGGAGCTCCACCGAAGGCCTCAGTGGCAGGGTCCACGTGCGGCTCCCCGCCCACCGCATGTCCATTTCGGCGCACCACCTGCACGTTTCGAGGCCCCATAGGGGGCTCCGCCGAAGGCCCCAGTGGCAGGGTCCACATGCGGCTCCCCGCCCACCGCATGTCAATTTCGGTACACCCCTGAAACGTTTCGTGGCCCCATAAGGTGGCTTTACCGAAGGTCCCAAAGGCGGGGTCCACATGCGGTTTCCCGCCCACCGCATGTATATATTATATATATTATATTTATATAATATATATATATATTTATATATATATTGAGAAGGCCTTACGGCCGGTGCCGCCGAATTTGAAGACGATGACGATGACGATGACGATGAGAGGAGGAGGAGGAGGAGGAGGAGGAGGAGGAGGAGGAGGAGGAGGAGGAGGAGGAGGAGGAGGGAGGAGGAGAGGCAGGAGGAGGAGGAGGAGGAGGAGGAGGAGGAGGAGGAGGAGGAGGAGAGGAGGAGGAGGGGAGAGGAGGAGGAGGGGAAGGAGGAGGGAGGAGGAGGAGGGAGGAGGAGGAGGAGGAGGAGGAGGAGGAGGAGGAGGAGAAAATAAGGAGGAGGAGGAGGAGGAGGAGGAGGAGGAGGAGGAGGGGAGGAGGGGAGGAGGAGAGGAGGAGGAGGAGGAGGAGGAGGAGGAGGAGGAGGAGGAGGAGGAGGAGGAGGAGGAGGAGGAAGAGAAGTAAGGAGGAGGAGGGGAGAGGTGGAGGACGAGGAGGAGGAGGAGGAGGAGGAGGAGGATGAGAGGAGGAGGAGGAGGAGGAAGAGAAGAATATGAAGGAGGAGGAGGAGGTGGAGGACGAGGAGGAGGAGGAGGAGGAGGAGGAGGAGGAGGAGGAGGAGGAGGAGGAGGAGGAGGAGGAGGAGGAGCAGGAAGACCCTCTGGGGCCTCTTGGGGGCCTCTTGGGACCTATTGGGGTTTTCTTGGGGGCCTCGTGGTTCCTCCTGGAAGCTTGTCGGGGCCGAGGGCTCGAAATGTCTGTTCTGGTCCCTCGTCTTGGGTACCCCAGCAGGTGGCAGAATTAGTGATTTTCTCGAGGGACAGGACGGCATAAGCATGAGAGCATGAGCTTTAGAAGCCTCGCGTTGATATCTTGGAGCTGAGCTGGACTCTTCACCCTGGCGCGCGGAGCTTGCCAGGGGCGGCACCGAAGGCGCCTTCAGGGGGTCAGCGCCGATCTACGAAATCCGAGCGGAGCTCCGAACGATAATGTTTTGATTCTACTGGCTTACGCCACATCCGCCGACCCCTTAATGTGGTTGGGGACGTTCCATTGCTGTCCTGGGGCCTTCTTGTGTCGTCTTGGTTTTTTTGTTGGGTGGACTCGGGGCTCTTCGGGGCCATCCCCGAGCTTTTCTTGGGGCCTTTGGGGCCGTTCAGGGGACGAATCTCACACGTCTGGAGACCCAGAAGGGGTTGGCGGATTCGTGTCGCATTGCATGCACCCAGACACGCGACAAGTCAGATGCTACAGCGTCACCCACCTGGTCTGAGCTAAACCCTTATGCTGGTCCGCACCGGTGGTCGATGGTTCCTTTCGTCTTCAGTGGGCGTTTCATCATCAGCATCATCATCATCATCAGCATCATCATCAGCATCATCATCAGCATCATCATCATCATCAGCAGGATCATCAGCAGCATCATCATCAGCATCAGCATCAGCATCATTATCAGCATCAGAAGCAGCATCATCACCACCACCATCATCATCATCATCAGCATCATCATCATCAACAGCAGCATCAACATCAGCATCATCATCATCAGCGTCACCAGCAGCATCATCATCATCAGCATCAGCATCAGCATCAGCATCAGCATCAGCATCAGCATCATAACCATCAGCACCATCACCATCATCATCTTCTTCTTCATCATCATTATCATCATCATAATCATCATCATCATTATCATCATCAGCATCATCATCATCACCACCATCATCATTACCGTCATCATCTTTATCATCTTCATCTTCATCTTCATCTTCATCTTCATCTTCATCTTCATCTTCATCTTCATCTTCATCTTCATCTTCTTCTTCATCTTCATCTTCATCATCAACTTCATCTACATCTTCATCTCCATCACCATCTTCATCTTCATCTTCATCTTCATCTTCATCTTCATCTTCATCTTCATCTTCATCTTCATCATCATCTTCATCTTCATCTTCATCTTCATCTTCATCTTGATCTTCATCTTCATCTTCATCTTCATCTTCATCTTTACCATCATCTTCACCATTCTCATCATCATCACCTTGTCTCCTTCCTCCTCATTTCCTTCTTCCGTTCCTTTCTTTTCCTTTTACTTCTTCTTTTCGAGTTTGCTTCTGGGGTTCCTGGGCGCGCAGAGCCTCCGAGGTTGTGCTGAGGGTTTCCCCGGGAGTTGGAGTTGCGCAGCGCCGGTGGCGGAAGCTCCGAAACATAATGTTTGATTTTTCGCTCCTTGCGAAAATTGCAATATCTGATACCTTCTGGTCGGAAGGTGTGGACGGTGGAGAGTCAGGGTAGGTGAGGGATAAATCGTTCCAGAGCGTTCCGGAAGGCTCTGAGAAGGCCGCGGCGCCCGATACATCTTCCAGAACCGCTGGATTTTAGAGATCCCTGGCTGATCCCTGTTCGACTTCGTCCCTGTCCTGGCTTCGTCTTCGGCAGGGCTGCCGTGAGCGAGAGTCGGCCTCTCTGTGGGAGTCAGAGGACAGACCACCGCAGCGGCGGCCCTCCTGTTGGAGGGTGCAGGGCTTTGCGATGGCAGGCTCGCTTCGATCGGGGCCAGCGGGTGCAGAGAGACAACGAGAATTAATGCGACAACTCGATCAGGAAATGCCTGGGTTCGCAGCGCCCCACTGGGAAGCGAACGATTCAAACATATTCCCGTTCCGTCGTCGTCGTTGTCGTCGTCGTCGCCGTCGAGACCGCCATGCCGCCGCCAGCGACCCAGACGAGAAACAACCATTTTCTGAATCGTCCCTGCCCGATGTGTTTTTTTGAGCCGTTCAGTCGCATGTAGTACTTCAGACATCAGGGAAACGATGGTGTCGCGTCGCTGGCCCTGGGACGGCGAGAGAGAGAGAGAGTGGTACGACAGTCAGTCCTTGCCCCCCCCAACCCCCTGCCCGTCACCCGCAAGCACGCGTCGGCCCTTGCCGGCTGCCGCGCCCAGCCTCGTTACCCGGTGCAGCCCACAGTGCGCGCACATGCCCCCACACTCAGGAGGGAAAAAAACACACAGACACAATTAATCTGCGATTCCCAGAAAATATGGGAAAATATGGGAAGTGGGGGGGAAGACAAAAACCCAGAAAACATGGGAAAATATGGGAAATCATTTTATTTGTGTGTATTTATTTGTGTGTTCCAGTTCCCCTTCAACAGTGCGCGCACACGCCCCCGCACCCTGCGCACGTCCCGAACCCTTCCACGGCAGGTTCGCGTCGTGTCGACGCGGCGGCGACCCCGGCGTGGGCGTTCCGGGTTGAGCGTTGCCAGTGGCCTAGAGTCGACCAATGTACACTTCAGGCGATGCTTAAGAAAACCTATTTTTTCGACCAGAGGCTCGATTATTCTTAATGTTTCAATGTAATCCTGAGATTTTAATGGACATTGTGGGTTTTTTTATTCAAGTTCTGAGACTATGAATTTCTTAACCCATGATTTCTTAAGCATTTCGCAGGGTGTAGAACGATCTGTCGATCGGCAGGCCGCCGATCGTTCAAGGTGGAACGATCCACGCGGTGTCAGAAACCAACGCCCTGGTCGTCACGACACGGACCTGCCGCACGTCGTGCCAAGATGAGATTCCCAGTCGAATGTTCTGCTTGTGAGCATACCTGGCATGTACCGTGCGTCGCTGTCGATTTGGATCTTCCTCTCTCGTCGCCGTGGCGTTGCGTTGCCCGCGCTGGTGCCCTCTTCGTGATGCACCTGCCGCAATGGCGGCCTCGCCTGGGGAAGGGGTGAGGCGCCATCGGATGCGGCAGCCTGGACCCACGGCCAGGGCAGGGAGGAGAGACTCAGGAGAAGAGAGTCAGAGCACACACAGTAGTGTCTTCAGAATCCTGTGCTACTGGGGACCAGGGAGTGAGAGGAGGGGGCGCTCGTGTCTCGGCGGCCTCTGTCCAGGAGATGTCGGCGTGGTCTCGTGGCTTTCAGGCCAGGGCGATCGCACACTCTGCCCTGGTTCTTGCGGCGCCGCGCCCCTGTGCCCCCTCGCGCCGTCGAGGCCGCGCTGGCTGAAGCCACGGCTCTGCCGGAGAAGCATCGACCGACGGAGCGGGCTGAGCTTCGGGGGCAGATGGAAGGAGGAGGGATCGGCCATGCGCAGAGGGGAGAGGGGCGAGGGGGTAAGGCTTCTTGGGAGCGCCTCTGCTCCTTAGAAGGCGTGGGCATTGTCTATAGATGTAGGGCGGGCGCCTTCTAAGAAGCAGCCTCCTTCTAAGACGCCTTTCCCCCTCCCCCTGCCCCTTTGTGCGCGCCGCCACAGGGATGTGAGCAGTCAGGAGATACGCGCGTGGCATGGGTGTAGAGGGGGGGTGCCGGAGCTGTAGTAGCGGGTCTTGGGCATACCATCTCATGCTCGTTTGTTGATGTGCGTGGTCATTTCGTCTGGCCTGCGTGGGCGAAACTCGGCTATTCTTATCCCGGTTAATACCATCTCTAGACTGGGGGTTCAAGTCATCTTGGGTTTCAGGATAGACGGCACAGCGGAGCAGAAGTTCATCCGAATGGATAGATAATTGAAGACGCCTACGGCGAATCACGGCCGCTCCCTGCCTTTCAGGATAGGCATATGTGGCCGAACGTTTTGTTAAAGTTTGGCCACACTATTGGACCTTGCGTTCCCCAAGCCGTTATGGAAGCCCTTTGGGGAACATGTGCGGGAGGAGGAGGAGGAGGAGGAGGAGGAGGAGGAGGAGGAGGAGGAGGAGGAGGAGGATGAGCTGAGGGAGGAACAATGAAAAGGGAAGAAGAATGACGAGATCTCTTGGGACTTTCTTGGGTCATTCTTGGGGCCTCCTGGGAGCTGTCAGGGCGCCTCTTGAAGGCCTCTTGGGGTCGTCCTTGGGCCTCTTGGGGGCCTTTGGAGGCTTTTTTTTGGGCCTCTCTGTTTGTCTTACGGTGTTCCTGGCCCGTCTGACGCCGTCGGAAGCCGTCTTGGGAGCCTATCTGAGCCGTCTTGGGGCCCTCTTGGGGCGCTTCAGGGTTGTCTTGAAGGCCATCTTGGGCGTTTTGGAAGCCTCTTGGGCCGTCCTGGGACTATCTTGGAGGCCTATTGGGCGATCTTGGGGCAATCTTGGGGGCCTCTTGTTGGGCCGTCTTGGGCCACCGGAAGGCCATTCTGATGCATACGCTAAAGTCTGTCAACACCTGCGGACAATGAATGATTTGAGCCTCTTGAGAGCCTTCCTGGAGGACCTCTTGGAGACCTCTAGGGCCGTCTTCGTGGCCTCTTGGGCGCTTCTTGGGCCGTCCTCGGTTTTTCTGACCATCTTGGCGGTCCTGGAGGCATCTTGGGACCGTTTTGGAGGCCATCTTTGGGCTATCTTTGGGCTCTCTTGGAGCCGTCTTGGCAGTCTTGGAGGCATCGTGCGGGTTATTTTTGGCCATCTTTGTTGTCTTGGAGGCGCTTGGGCCGATGGATGGCGTAGTTTGTGCAGCTCTCCTTGTGGCGGGCGGTTTGGGCCGGAACCCCGGGGGCAGCTCTTCAGGAAAGAACCAAAAACAACCCAAAGTTCAGCACGCCAGGCACCCCTGTGATAGATCAATAGGGGGCGGCGGATCTCTTCGGCCCATCCCGCCACCGTGCATGGGCTGTGGTTCAGAGGCCTCATTGGATGCATGTGAGGATCTCTTGGGATGCCTCTCGGGGGACTCTTGGAGTGATCTTGGGGGCCTCTGGGGGTCTGGGGGGCCTCTACGGGGGCAGTTGGTGCTTGTCATCCCCCCAAGGGCTTTGAACTGTCACGCGGGGATCCCCCAGAGGGCGCGAGAGCGCTTGGAACTCGGGGCCCCGGGCCCCGTACAGAGTGTTTACAGTTTCCAGTGCCGAGAGTGCGCTGGGACCTGAGGACTCTTCTCTTCGTGCCCAGCGGCACAGTGGTGGACGTGTAGGTACCTGCTGGCCCGTTCATTCGGTACTGCCGTGCTGCCATGGACACGTCGCACAGCTCGAGGGAAGACGGGTCGCGTCCACCAGGATTTGCCAGGGCCCTGCTGGGTCGTCGGAGGGATTGCCATACCAAGTGTGTGACTCATTGACGTTGTGAGCTGCGCTAGAGGCTGCTTCTTAAGTGATCTGGAGGGTGGAGTCGGTGTGATGTGTGCTTGTCATGTTGCGACTACGCTCTATAGCTTTGCGGTCTTGTGCCTCCAGGAGAAGCGGCCTGCCAGGAAAGACACAGCGAAGGCATCGCGTTGCCGCATCCTTCAGCTCCGCGTGGACAGACGAAGCCAATCCCCTTCGCACTGCTAGCTCTCCACTGATCGGGTATGCTTTTGTGGAGAGGGAGGGGACTCACAATGCTCTAGGTCACCCGTGGGGTCGCGATGGGGCGATCCATATTAAATCAGGGTGCTGAGAGAAGAACCCCTAACATTGATAGTGATGTACGTGATATTCACGGATACGTGTATGTGCGTGTGTGTATGTGTACACGTATACACATACAGAGAGGGATCTATGTATATATATATATATATATAGATATATGTATATAGAGGGAGAGAGAGAGAGAGAGAGAGAGAGAGAGAGAGAGAAAGAGAGAGAGAGAGAGAGAAAAGACATAGTCCAGCGGAAGGTAGCGGGGTTGGTGCTTAAGGGGCAATGGGGCGCCGAGGTCGGGCAGGCGGCCGATCTGACCCACACTGCCAGAGTTGCAGCGAAGTGCGTCGTGTCAGCACCTCGGTGTGTGTTGAAACGTCTGCTTCGGCAGCCCACGCGCCCGACATCGTTTTCAGCCGCGGCACGACCGGATCGTGCTCCCAATGGAAGAGGCACTATGTGCACGCAGCTTTTCTAGGTTCTCGGTGATTGCTATTCTCCTTGGAAGATTTCCTCGGTTCGGCATGGCAGGATGAAAACATGTTTCCAAGGACGATTGGCATGTCTCTGAAGACAGGCCAGGGTGCGGAACCGAGCCAGGGACTTGGGGACAAGGCCGAGCCAAGGGGATCCCAGGGTAGTCGGGGACAACGCTGAATCCATGAGATCGGCGCTAGCCAGGCCATGTGACCGAAGCGAGAACGGCGGGGGGCAGGGTTGGGCCAAGGACGTCGGTAGCAGACAGAGCACCAGTCCGAGTCGTGGAAGCTCGGGGACAGGGCCGACAGCGCAGGGTATTTCTTTAGAGTGGGACTGGGATGCCCTCCTTTTCGGCAGCGGATCAGCTAGAATGTGCACACCCTTGCAAATCAGCGCAATGCAAGTGTGGCCACATTGAGTCAAAGCGAGGCGCAGGCACTGTAAGGCACGTCAAGGCAAAGCAACACTAGACCAATCCACACATCATTAAGACGACCAAGGCGACATGCTGGGTGCTTGGCCACTATAGCAAAGCAATGTCAGACTGCAGGGCAGGACAGACCACAGCGACGCTGGGCAACGTGCTATGCCCATGAAGGAGAACACCGCGAGGTAGCGCAGCGCAGAGCATTCTAAGACAACTCAAGCAGAGCAAGGTCAGCGCAGCTCAAAGTAATGAAGGAAAGTCACCGCGAACCACACCAACGCAAATAAAGCTCCTGCAATCCGAACCAAGGGAGCGCAAGCAATAGCTAGGGATCGTGCCACACATGTGAAAACGACGGAGCTGGCAGCAGAGCCGATAATGCCAAACTGTGGCGTGGGGAAGCGCAGACAATGCGCAGCATGGCAAATGGCGGCAAGGCAGTGCAAGTCGTAACAGCGCTGCGAACGAAGCATGAAGCGCAACTTAAGGGATGTCCTGGCGTAGCTGAGCAGTGTAGAGTAATATCGGAGACAGAGCGAAGTCATGCAACTCAGGGGACGGCATTTGGAAGGAGAGCAAGTCATGACTGCAACGTGTAGGCAAAGCAACGCTATAGCCTGCAGGGCAATGCAAGGCGGGGCAACGCAAGGGCAGGCGACGCCGATCTAAGTAAGGCGTGCTGCAAGCTTGTTTTTCGTGGGATGGGGTGGCTGGGTGGGTTGGTGGGTGGGTCGGGCGGGCGGGCGGGTGGCTGGGGGGGAAGGCTTGCTTCATTCTAAGTTCAGGTGAAGCGGATTCACCGAACGGCCAGATGACACCGAGCCCCAGAGAAGCAGCTGCAGAGATGCGGGGAGGTCTGTGCCTTCGGGGCGGGTGGCTGCCGCCGGCACTGCAGGACCTTCCTGCGCGGGGCTCCTGTAGGCTCTTCGAGGCAGTCACCGTCGGGGACCGCGTGCGAGCCGTGTCTTTGCTCGGCGCACGTGCTCCGCCGCACACGCACAACAACTCCATGCTCTCAGCACGCTCCGCCGCCCGCGGCTTCCTCTCCCTCCTTCGCGCCCCTCCCTCTCCTCCTCCTCCTCCGCCTCCTCCTCCTCCTCCTCCTCCTCCTCCTCCTCCCTCTTCTCCTCCTCCGCGCCCCTCCCTCTCCCGTTGCGCCCGACTCGGCCCCGCAAGGTCTCTCGGCTGCCCCGACCGCATCTTGACTCCGAAGCGCCGCGGTGCGATTCGATGCGCGGGCTCGGCCCACGATTCCGATTCCGGCTCGACTCGCCATGATTCTCCAGCACCGGCCGGGCCAGCTGGAGCCAGGCGTGGCGATCCGATTCTGCTTTGATTCGGGGCCCTTCGACGGGGATCCGATCCGTGTCCGAGCCGAGCCGATGTCGCGACTCGACCCAGCTCATCGGGGAACAGACAGTGACATAAACATAAAACTCGGAGGGCCGCGCACATTGCTTGGATGGGCGCTGGGGCCCTCTGGCTGCGCCTCTGGCGCCGCCCCTGGCGCGCTCTGCACGCCAGGGAGGGGGGTCCGGCGCCGATCCAAGGAATTCGCGCGGACCTCCGAGTTGTTACGTTTGTGTCATCGTTCAGTTCTCCAGCTCAGGCCTGCCGTGTCTGTGATTGGCGCACGCCGCGTCCACGTTCTTCGGAACGCCCGCTGCTCTTCGGGCCCCTGCAGCGCTGTGCCTCGGGCAGGAGCCGACGCAGGGGCGCCAGAGGCTCCCAAGCGATCGGGCGGAGGATGAGGAGGAGGAGGAGGAGGAGGAGGAGGACCAGTGGAAACCCAAGAAATACCAACGATGTTGCAAGACAACCTCCCTCCAAGCTCGTTCTTCAAAGGCTCGTATGAGGACTGCTCTACATTCACTGCGGGAAGAACCCCGTTGGAAGACAGCCGTTTGAAAACCTTCAACCGTGCCTGAGCACCATGCCTGGCAGTTCAACGCCGCGAATCAACGTTACTACTGCGACATGACGATACTGAATCGTACCAGAAAACCATCTGAGACTTGAACAGCGCGAATCAAAGTGATTGTTGCGACCTGACAGCCGTAAACAGTGCCAACGCACCATTTCTTGGACGTCAGCCATGAGACTCCTTGAAATTGTTGTATTCTGTGAAGACGAATATTCGAAGCGCTAAGACGAGAACCACATTATGAAAACGGTCCGCCCTCCATCCGTGTAGCTGTTGCAAATGCCAGGCTTCATGACCATACATGGTGGAGAAGGCTCAAGCGAAACGCCTGGCCCGCCCTACTGACACTTCTCGTGTTGCGGCAGGGAGGAGGAATTCATAAGGAAAAAAGACGGAGGAGGAGGACGAGGAGGAGGAGGAGGAGGAGGAAAAGGAGGCGGAGGAGGAGGACGAGGAGGAGGAGGACGAGGAGGAGGAGGAGGAGGAGGAGGAGGAGGACGAATACGATGAGGGTCGCCAGAGGAGGAGGGCGGAGGAGTCTGAGGCGGAAGCGGCGGCGGAGGCGGAGGCGGAGGCGGAGGCGGAGGAGGAAAAGAAGGAGGAGCAGGAGGATAAGGAGGAGGAGGATGAGGAGGAGGAGAGGAGGGAGGAAAAGAGGAGGAGGGAGGAGGAGGAGGAGGTGGAGGAGGAGGAGGTGGAAGAGGAGGAGGAGGACGACCAGAGTATACCCAAGAGTCATCAACAATGTTGGAATAAACCCTCCCTCCAAACTCCCCTCTTCATAGGCCCCTACAACGGTTGATTTACATTGAGGGAACTGCCTCGTTGCAGGGCAACCGGTTGAAGACCCTGAAGCACGCCAAAACATTGTTCTCGGGATTCCAACGCCACGGATCAACCTGACTGTTGCGTGTTGACGATCCTGTTTCGTGCCAGAACGCCATTCCTGGGACTTGAACGCAGCGAACTACCGTAGCTGTTGCATCCGCGTAATCTGGAATCCGTTCACAACATCATTTTTGGTACGTTGTTGTTGGGCATCCGTTAATTTCTTGCAACTGCAAATTTTTCAAACTAATGTGCGCGACGCTGAGGCGAGAGCCATATTTTGAAAATGGTTTGTCGTCAATCCGTGAAACTCCTGCAGCTGAGTAAAAGAATGTGCGCCGCGCTAAGGCGAGAGCCACCTGTTGAACACCACCCGCCCTCCATCTGTGAGACTCTTGCCAATTGTTGAGTTTCAGAATCATAAATGGTGAGGATGTCTCAGACGAAACGCCTGCCCCGCCCTAAAACTGGTTTCGGGAGGCGACAGGGAGACTTTATATTCATAACTATATGTAATGACTATGTATGCGTATTTGTATATGCATATAAGCATGCATGCATGCATGCATACGTGCATATACGTATGTATGCATAGACGTAGGTATGCATGTATACCTGTATGTATGTATGCATTATGCATGTATGTGTGCATGCATGCATGCATGTATATATGTATGGGTGTATGCACGCACGTATGTATGTATGTATGCATGCATGCACGTATGCATTTATGTCTATAGGTACGTATACATGTGTATATGTACGTATGCATGTATGCATGCAGGTCGGTAGGTAGGTAGCTAGGTATGTAGGTAGGTATATCTGTAGGTAGGTAGGTATGCGTGTATGCATGTATGTGTGCATGCATGTAAGCATGCATGTATGCATGTATGCATGCATGCATGCATGTACGCATGCATGTATGTATGTAGGCATGTATGTATGCATGCACGCATGCCTGTATGTCTGTGTGGATGGATCTATGGATGTATGACTGTTTGCGTGTATACATGCTTGTATTCATGTATTGTATGGACGTGTGTACACATGCATGCATGTCTGCTTGCGTGCCTGTATATATGTATGTATGTATGCATGCATGCATGCATGCATGTATGCACGTACGCATGCATGCAGGCATGTCTGTATATATGTATGTATGTATGCACATATGTATATATGTATATATGTATACACATATATATA